AAGAAAAAAAAGAACCTGGCCCACTACTTTTGGATAACCCTAAGTAGTAAAAGGTAATATGACATCAAAGAATGATGATAATGCAATCGTAGCATTGGAAACTTATGAACCCGATGTTCAAGTTATGAATCTCAAGAATAAAAATGTGGATGCTCAACTTGTTTTCCAAGGCGGTGTTCAAATCATTCTTCTTAATACAACATGCAAATCTGCTAAAGTTAATGGCAATCAATTGAACTTGCCAATTCAACTTGAACAAGGTGAAAATCGCTCGTGCAAGCTTAATGTAACAGTCAGATTGACATAAATGAACTAAGGAACAAGATCAGAATATTACGATATAGGAAAAATAAATTCTTAGTTTTTTTTTTATTATTGTTATTGTTTCTGTTATAAAATAAATAATTTAATAGATAAATCCATACGTAAAAGATTGTCATCAGAAAGCCATCATTAAACTTTTGAATGTTACTGCATAATACGAATAGTTCAACAAAACAAACAACTACAGAGATCACTTCATATTTTAGATACTTGATGTTTGTAAGTCTAACTCAGTCATGGGTAGTCACAGATTGAATGCATCGGAATAAGTCTCGACGAAAAAGAATTATTCTATAACATACTCAGTATACACAAATATTTATAAGATAATAGTATAAATTATAATTCATATTTTTAATAACAAGAACGAAAGTTACTTGTTTAAAGTTATGCAATTTCCGAGTAATTTCAATTATATACAAAAACAGCTGTTTACACTATGTGCAGGTAAAACGAATCTAATAAAACATCACATGGAAAAAAAATATGACTTATTCGTTTTGCGCACACTTTTGTATTATTGTCTCTGTATTGACATCATATTGTAACAAACGCCAGTGATGCACGAAAATTCGGTCTGCACGGGGATTAATGACAACATGTAGAATATCGCGATAAAATAGAGACAATTGCGGTAACGATATTTTTCGAGTCTGAGTATTATCAGTCGTTGTTACAACTTATACTACTGATTTTATCAATGAAAAACTTAGACACATCGAGAATACAAAAGTGTGTAGGACGGTTTACTAACATATTGAGCCTGCGCTCATGTGTTGGGATAACATTAAACACAATTTTGCTATTATGGTTTCTAATTTCTTTTGTGATAATTTTCAGGTGAAATAAAGATAATGTTTTTGATTTGTTCTGAAAATATGATCAAGTAGGTAGTTGGTCTAATTAATAATTGTTGTACTTGTTTACCGATGAGAGAATCACTCGAACAGATAAGTTGTCTTAATGTACTTTAGATTAACAGGATAAAGTGAATCTTCATCAAATTTTTTATGAACAATAAAAATCTCATCCGGGTGAGCCTACAGGTGATTCAGCTAGCGGAAGTTTAACGTTTCTTTTGTCATAATTTTGCATGAACTAAAATGTTGTAAATCGTCGATGCCTTTGAAAAACACGTGTTATTATCATTTATTTTAACACAAAAAATGTGCAAATGGAAATCGATCTGTGAGAATTTGTTCGTCAACAATAATGTAGAAAGATAAATAAGACTTTAGCGAATGATTATAATTATAAGCAATCTTTTTTTTTCAGATTGTGTATTGTGTCACTCAGAAAATTACGTATATGTGTGGAATTGTGTTGCTTATTTTGATTGATGGGACTTTTCTTCGTACTGATAGATTGATGCGTACAAGACCATCTATTCACCTTTGATTTTCGATATAAGAGGCTGAGTTGTTAACAGATTTACATCAATCAATATGCCTCATTATTTTACTCTTCTCATTTATGCTTTTGCTATTATTTTTGGTTTACTTGAGGATCGTCACTTGAATCAAAGTCATACACCCGATGATAGCAATCCATCTCTACTATCGAATGATTATGTCTATTCCGGAGAAACAACATATTATGATCGTACGTACGTAAAGAAGTCGATGAATAAGATCTAACTGCATTTTTTGTAATATTTCTTAGCTGGTCTTAGTGTTTGTAGTATTTCCAGTGGTGATAATGAACTCGTTTGTGGTATTGCTGATTCCTTCTACGATACACAAACTATCAATGGCGCTCTGATTAATAACAAATTCTATGATAGGCAGATCTCAGTCACAGGTCCTACTGACACGGTTATTATCACAATTGGCAATCGATGCAGTAGTTGCAAGGATGTAAGTGAAACAATCTCGTCAAACATTGCAACAGTAAATTGCTATTATCTTTCTCATAGGATGATCTTGATTTGAGTCGACCAGCCTTCAATCAGATTGGAGATCCAATTAATGGACATGTTTCCATTAATTGGCGTTCCATTTAACTATTGACACTTTGATATTTACTCTGATCTGTTTCTTTTATTTTCATTCGAGATTAACGTATCTTTTTATTCGATTACTTAACTATTTCTTCTTGGGTATGAGTGTGTGGGTATGAATAGATTGAATATTCGCATCCATCTTCTATGAGATATTCTGACCAGAATAGCAAAAAATCGATTCATTTTTCATTCCAGTTTCTTCGACATCGTGTAAGGGATGGAGTTGAGACTTGTTTCATGTACATCAGACACTGTTTGGAGTGGGTAATTTTTTAAGCTTCCTTATATTAGTTGCTATTTCAATAAAAAGAGCTACGGAGTGTAGGCGTTGGTGTGGTGTGGATGCGGATAACGATCCATTGCTTACTCACACCCACATCCCATCAGAAACGTCAAAATAAACACTACTAATCACATATTTTCAAGTCTTATCTTATACTATAATGGAAGTAATTATTGATTACTTCTATTGATACTCGATCTTCATCAACATAAGCTGGTCTCTACTAGGAACAGTTTGATTGTATATTCGATAGAAATTAATCGAAGCAGACTATTTTTGTTGATAATTTTTCCCTTCTACTGATTGCTCAACCCACTATTGCGCAATAATGTCGATAAACTTCAACATCTAAGCAAAGATCAATGATGAAAAGAATAATGAAAACTCTTCTATCGGAGCAATACCGCTTGGTCTTTCTTTAGCTTTTATTTTCATAACACAAAAAGTGCATAATGACAAGATTTTCTTCCTACTTTCACAACTGCACCCATCGTGGACTAAAGAACATGTCAATGCGTGATGATGAATCACGTTTTTTTTTCGTTCTATTTACATCGAATAGAAAATAAAAATGAACCAATGTAAATTGAAAGGTTATTCTTTGTGTATGCATTTTGATATTCGTTAACTCCTAAAAAAAATGGAACCACAAAAGAAAGAGTTGAGATGAACATTTAGTTGAATATGAGTAAATTGCTTTTCATCGTGAATTGAATCATCAATATATTGCTTTTATTTTAACAGTGTACTCCATCTACATAAGATATGAGTGTCAATAGTTTTTCTTCTTTCCTTTTGTTTAAGTCGATATGCAAAATAGAAAATATCATGAATCATTAATGACAGTTGATTGCGACATCTTTTTCGGTTAGTTTTTTCAACATACATTATTACACAACGATGATGTCAGTTGAAACATATATCATCACATTAGTTAGTCATGTCTACGGAATACGTGCCACCTTTTCTAACGCTACCTGTCGAACTTCTGTATCGAATTTTCGATTATCTTGATACAAGAACAATCGTTTTTTCACTTCGTCGTGTTTGTGTACATCTCTATACAATTGCTAATACTTATAATCGATACATATTAGAACCTAATTCAATATTAAATGAAGACTTGACTTGTCTAACACGAATTATTCGACCTGAAAATGTCGTATCGTTCAAGTTATGGTATTCATATTTCGATAGAAATGGGATAGAGTTCTTTCTATCACTTGTCAATATTGAACAATTTACTCGACTCTCTTCATTGACACTTGGAAATATCAAAGATCCTTATTTGAATACAATCTTACGTCATGTCATAGAGAATTGCAGACTTACATCACTTTTTATTGCAAATGTTCAACTAACAATTGGCAGCAACACACTAGCCCTTCTATCTTCGGCTATTGCACAGTGTACTCTTCGAAAACTTGGTTTACTCTCATATCGTAATTATCAAAATGAATTATCGTGGCCTGTCAATTGCACTGTAGAAAAACTTAACCTAGGCATTTGTCATTTCAATCGATTATGTTCTATTCTTCAAAATTCATCACGACTTCATACTTTGACTGTGGAGAATATTTGTATGGATCAACTCGACAAAAATATCATGAAAATTCCATATCGGCAATTGAAGTCTTTGAAATTGAATAGAATTAATGTATCAATAGATGAACTAGAATCGATTCTTTCTTTAACACCTTCACTTAATCATTTAATACTAAGAAGTTTTCAAGCGTCTACCATATTTCTTCAACGGTTCGCTCGATGGAAAGAGTTCATTGAGGCAAAGTTATCTATGCTTGAAGAATTGAAATTTTGCATTACTTGTTCCATCCGTAATTTTGATGAGATTGAATCATTGATTACGACGTTTCAAACCTCATTTACCTTCCGAAAACGGCGTCAATTTGTTCTATTTGAAATTACCGATAATTGGAGTCCAAGCCTTCGTGTTTTTAATTCATCAAAGAACCCAACATTTCTTCCAGACAGACAAACAAATTCTAAGATCATTTGTTCGACTTCGACTATGATGGGCCATAGTGAAGTTGAAAGAAACATTGTTTGGAGTGTTCATTTAAATCTGACACGGCTCATGAAAGATGGTAATCAACCAACGGTATGTACAGATAGAAGTTCAAGTATAATATAATAACGAAAGAACCATCCTGGTTGTAAAATCACGTTCTTGCTTGGAACTATTACCATTGGATAGGCCCTGCTGTAGTGTTCTGCAGGCTGCAGGATCAACCTTTTTTTATTCCCGTCCCTGCATTCTCGTTCATGCAATGCTTTCAGAACACTTATTAGATCTTTTGCTTTAACGTTTGAGAAAGGCTGTTAAAGCAATAGCTGCTATCGACGACAAACTTTGCTTTAGATGATATTAACTCGAATTAGAAATGAAATAGTTATAGGAAATATATTTTAGTAAGATAAATCAATTTTTATCTTTACATCGAAATTGATTGAAGTTAAGTTAGACAAATTATTTCCTTCGTCAACTTAGATTTTGAACATAAAAAAAAAACAAAATAGTAGCACATCAACAACATTTACGAAAAAGGAAAGATATCCAACTAAAGAAGATTATAATAGTGCGTATGTTGTAATAATCTGAATAGTGAATTCGTTCAGAGATGAAAAACACAAAGAAAATGGTATCTACGAGAACTGAATAAAAACTTAATGAACAATAAATAAAATCGTTTCGGACTTCGTTGGTAGCTAACTTTTTATTTTTATTTATATTACTAAGTAATGTTAAAGTCGCTAGAAAAATGTCGCAATGTATTCCTCAACGTTATAACATTGGAAGAACTGCGATGTCCTCTCTTTGAAGGAAGAAGGTTTGTATATTATATACATGAAACAAAACAAAAAAGCCGCTTTTCTGAAACATTTTCTTTTATCATTATTCCTATTTCTGTGTTCTTGTGCCCGATTCCCATGGGAAACGGGACGAGAAAACGTGAGAAAAAATCGTTTCCATAGGACACTACCGTACTGAGAAGTGAAAAAATCTATTTTAGTTTAAGTTTCTGGTCTTAGATCTCTGACACTAACTTTTTTGGCAAACTTAATTACAGGATTTTCAGTTGAAGTTTAGTCCGTAGTTAGATATTAAGGTCATTAGAATAAATCAAAAGTTTCAGTTTAAACAAATGCCTTATTATCGAGCTATTAAAGCTTGTGAAGTATTCTAGTAGATGTCACATCTGTGCACAGGCAAAATTTTGGTTCCACGTCTTGCACTAGAGTTTTGTCGAAAAGTTAATTCAATAGAACCAAAAATTCAGTAACATGTCCATTACTTAACAAGGAAATATTAGAAACCCAAACTGAAATGGACTTTTTCATTTCTTACTGGGGACTATCGATTGGCAATAGTCCAAATGAAATCGAATGCCAAATGAAGTCAACTATAGTTAAAGCAACTGTTGGTGAGATATTTCATGAAAAATTTCTCTTACATTTTGATCTTCGATAGACAAAATCCCACATCATCAATCCTTGAGATCTTCACAACTGCTTTTGTGAAATTCACTATAAAAGAAAAGAATGATGAATGTTAGTGTACATCCGAAAATTTTTAATCCCTCCCGTCCTTACAGACACGGGTAGTTTTTAATACCTGTAATATAATTAACCGAAGGTCATTAGAAATCTTTTCCCTATTTCATAGACTACATAGTCTAGAGTCTGCACAACGATAAATAATCCCAAAATTCTTTATTCTCGGATTGATAACGTATGCACTTGAATCGAATATTATGGAGCGATCAAACTAAGCGAAAAAAAAAGAACTAGAAATAATTGGCCGAGAAATACGATCTTATCGCACAAATTGTTATTATGATTAGTTTTCCCCATCTTCAAATCGATCCATGTGTAATAAAAATTTTGAGCGAAAGAGATTGTTTGTCTTTAGAATTTCAAATCAAGATACTTCTTCTTGCGCAACGTGATTGGGCTTGCATTAGACATCGATGACAAGTGGTCATTTGCGTCCATGGATTATTTATCAGAACTACTTGATTTGACACATATACAAGCACTTGAGTTTAATCTACGATTGGATTCCAAAATGGACCTAGATGTTTTCCAAGCTTTATTTAACCGAGCATACAACATTCATTCGCTCGAAATTTGGTCTGATGATGATTCAACGGTACATGTCAAAAATATTTATTCCATGGTACCTCGTTCGATCGAGAGTTTGAAAGTGAAAACTGGAGACTTGGACTGTATAAAATGGATTCTTGAACGAGTTGAACATTTATCACTCGTAAAATTTTTTGATTCTAGTAAGCCTTCTAGATTCTGGTCTGAAGTTGTCGAATGGTTCAAACAAAAACAAAGAAAATTTTCATACAAAAGAAAGCTAACTTCTCTGACAATATTGTTTAACAAAAACAAGAGAAAATATGTGTCAGATGAAACCAAAAGTGAATTGAAACGCATTAGGTGTACCAATGAATTTGATACTGTATGATCTATTCAATTTTTATGGCTGTTTTTTTTCTTGTTTCTCTGCTAATAAAGATTACTTTCAATAAATCTTAAACATTGTCCATTGATGTTGCAGATATTTTTATTTGATGAAAAAAAAAATCAATTTTCTTTCAAAATTTTAATTAGCATTGATTTGGCTCAATTTTGATAATCAATCAAGAAAGTCCAATCAAAATAGGAGTGGCACATTTATTTTACTCGT